TTCTAAGGCATTGCTAGATTTTTTTTCTGTTAGAAAATCGTCGTTTTAAAAAAGAAAAACTCATATAATGAGAAAAATGAAGGTTTTTGGATGGAAAGTAGAATTTTTTGATGTTTTCGCCTGACGTAAATTGTGTGATATCGCCGCAATTCGCAATCTCACAGACGCCGTCGGCAAAGGTGCCACCACCTCGACGTGGTAGGGGCACGTCGAGATGCCGGCAGCTCCCTCTCTCAAAAGAGCACGCTATTTCCCGTGCTCTCTGACCTGCCGGCAGCTGCCATCTCGCGGATTCCGCCAACTTGCCGGCAGGTTGCCGGCAACTGACCTCGCGAAGTTGCCGGCAGCTCCTCCTGGAATTCCAGATATTTTACTAAAGGAGGAGTTCTGGAGCCGCAGTTTTTTATGAAGTTTTCTACAGAGTCGAGGCGGCAACTTTATCGAGAAAATTTTTTGAAAAAAGGCCTGGGACGGCCTAAATTTCGGTTCTTAGTTTCTGGCTACCTCGCGGAAAGGTGCCAGCAACCTGCCGACGAGACCTGCCGCCAGGTCGGGGGGATTACTACCGGCCAGTAAGCAGTGTGGAATTGAAAAACAACGGTGCTTCTTTCAACCAAGAATACTAATTATGGGATAAAAGAAACTAAAAATTGCAGCTTTTTGCTAAAATAAATATTTTTGTATTTTTTGAGCATATTAGGTTGTTCCGAAAGTAATGTCGCTTTTTTCAAATGAACGCCACATTTCATGGAATCAAGATTCTCAAGAGAAGCATTTGATGCAGCATTTTATTCTCTTTCTAATGGTTGTAATTTCATTGCATAATATTCAATGAGCTTTCGAAAAATTACCAAAATCTGCAACTCTTGTTTTTTGCCATGGTCAAGTTCTGCTATTTTTCTAAATTTTTGTACCTAATCTCCGAAAAAGTACAAGTGGCATAATACTGTTCTTGTAGATTATTGTGCGCTAAAAAATAGGCTCAGACTTCTTTCCAAAAAAGGTAGGAGCGTTGGTGAATTCTGGAAAAATCACGCGTTTTTAAATTCTACTCGCCATAACTTCCTTCCGAATACGTATATTTTGAATCCAAAAATAGCGCCTCGCTCAGCCCATCAAGGCGAATCTTTCTATATACAGCATGTCCTTGATACCTCGATTTCAGTATTCTTGAATCTTTCTGCGGACGTCTTTTCGCGAAGGTGTAAAGCAGCGAGCATTGTCCCGAGTAAATTGCGGCAAGGACCTTTCGATATTACTTGTTCTGTAGATTATGATGCACTTGACAGTTGCCGCAGATTTCTTTTTAAAGGAAATAGAAGCTCTGGTGAATTGTGGAAAAATCTTTTCGTCCCAAATTCTACTCGCCATAGCCTTAGATTACGAACCTCTTTTGCTAAGCAGATGTGATCATCGTAATAGCAGGTCGGATAACCTCTATGAGCAAGTTTTCCGAGATGTTCGGGTTATTTTATTTTTTCCCGTTTTAGGCTCTGGAAGCTCGCCGATGGATTTTGGTCAAAATGTTGATACTTCTGAATTGTAAGGAAACCTCGCTTATAGAGGTTTTCGAACACGCTCTTTACGAAAATCGTGGTCTCTGAGGATTACAAGGTCTTTTTGGAGAGATACGATGAGGTAACTGTAACTAAATCACGAAAGCTCTTAAATTCGCCTGCACCTCTCGCGTACCTGTCAGAAAACCTGCTTAACTGCTTATAAAGGTTAAAATAATAGGAAGTGTGCCATCGAACGGTGCATGTCTCAAGTCCTGTCTATAGAAATCGCCGAGTTACGAGCCTACGAAAACACGTCCTTATGCATTTTGCCCACAATGTAAAGATCGCATACTTCGTCGAAGTTCCACCGTGATGCTTGTAAGACACTCGCATTGCGGATGTTATGTTCGCTTCGCTCAAAAGCAAGAGCTCAATGACTCCCACTGTACTGAATATGGTGGTTGAGTGCGCTTCAGCTGCTTTGTTGAATCAGCTTCGTGGCTAGAGCTCAGCTATCTAACTGTCACAGTACAGGAAGATCCATTAAGCGATTGAACAGATTTGATTAACGTTTTGTACAACCAGTCTGGAATTTCGACGGAGTATGCGATCTTCACATTGTGGGCAAAATGCATGAGGACGTGTTTTCGTAGGCTCGTAACTCGGCGATTTCTATAGACAGGAGCTTGAGACATGCACCGTTCGATAGCACACTTCCTAATTACTTTAACCTTTATAAGCAGTCAAGCAGGTTTTCTGACAGGTACGCGAGAGGTGCAGGCGAAATTACGAGCTTTCGTTTAGTTACAGTTACCTCATCGTATCTCTCCAAAAAGACCTTGTAATCCTCAGAGACCACGATTTTCGTAAAGATGTTCGAAAACCTCTATAAGCGAGGTTTCCTTACAATTCAGAAGTATCAACATTTTGACCAAAATCCATCGGCGAGCTTCCAGAGCCTAAAACGGGAAAAAATAAAACAATCCGAACATCTCGGAAAACTTGCTCATAGAGGTTATCCGACCTGCTATTACGATAATAACATCTGCTTAGCAAAAGAGCTTCGTAATCCAGGGCTATGGCGAGTAGACTTTGGGACGACAAGATTTTTCCACAATTTACCAGAGCTTCTATTTTCTTCAAAAAGAAATCTGCGGCTACTGTCTAATGCATCATAATCTACAGAACAAGTACTATCAAAAGGTCCTTGCAGGAATTTACTCGAGACAATGCTCGCTGCTTTAGACCTTCGCGAAGAGACGCCCGCAGAAAGATTCAAGAATACTGAAATCGAGGTATCAAGGACATGCTGTATATAAAAAGATTCGCCTTGATGGGCTAAGCAAGGCGCTATTTTTAGATTCAAAATATACTTATTCGGAAGGAAGTTATGGCGAGAAGAATTTAAAAACGCGTGATTTTCCAGAATTCACGGCGCTTTTACCTTTTTTGGAAAGAAATCTGCGGCTACTACTTAGCGCACGATAACCTACAAGAGCAATGCTATCGAATATTGCTTACTGGAATCTTATATATAAAGCTGAATGTCTGTTTGTATGTATGTCTGTATGTCTGTCTGTCTGTCTGTACGTATGTTCCGAATAGAAAATTCCATTTCTGAACCGATCTGGACCAAACTTGGCACACATACACTTCGGGCCCCGGCGGGTGTCATAGGCTACTTTTCGTCATCGATCCATATCGATTTATCGATTTTTTGCAAAATTTCAGCTACAGGGCTGGGAGTTGGCACAGGGGGGTAATCGAGCATGCTGATTACAAATATATTATTGACAGGGCCCGGCGGAGCCAGGTAAGCCATCTAGTCTTTCATAATACACGGACGCTGAGTTATATTCTTGCGAAGGAACCTCCACAGAAAAATTCGAGAAAACTGGAAACGGAATATCGAGGACATGCAATACATCAAAAGATTCGCCTTGACGATCTGAACACAATGCTGTTTCCTGATTTAGAATATATTCATTCCGAAGGAAGTTATGGTGCTGCGTATTTTGCGTGAGATCGTTATTTCGCGGATTCCTGGAGTGTCGTGGGATTCCCAGAATGTCGCGGACTTGAGCTTAAATTTGGGAACTCCGCGAAGTTCACAAAGATTTTGCTCATTCTGTGAGCGGTATTGTGATCTTGAGCAGATTTTAGAACAAATTCGATCAGTGTGACTCTCTACCACACTCCTCCGGTATACTTTCTATGTGTCATCAGCGACAATTTAATGGCAGTACTGTTCTCACCCAACTGAACAATCTAACCAAACAAAAAACTGCAAAACTGAGCGGAAACTTACTGTCTAGCGTATACCTATCCTGTATCGTATACATATCCTGCTAGATTGTGGCACTCCTATATACTAGATGATGCGTCTCGCCGAGCTGAATCGAATGGTGTCCTCGGATTCAGAATTCGTCCATTCTGAAGCGAGATATTGCGATGCGACGCGGACTCCGGCAGACTCTAGTGGAGCACTCCGGCGGAGTCCGCCGCAGTCCGGCAACTTTTTTAACGAATTATGAGCGGTATTGTGTCTGACATAATTCAAACCCGCTGAGGCATATGAATTTTCTATTTTGGAGTCAGCGACTTTTATTTGAGCGACCCTTGTAACAGCATTTAGTGTTTCCTTTGGCTTTTTTGTTATTAGTGTCGCCTATCGTTTAACCAACGTATACCCTTGGCAGTTCTTGAGAGCTAGAAAGTGCGAAAAGTAATTCTTTATATTGGGGTTTGCACAAGTTTTTATGTTCAAATGCCTGCAAATGCGCTGCTCTATACTCTTGGGAATCGTTTTGTTGCTGACAGTCAAAAATAAGCCAACTTCTTAGACGAAATGTGGCCTTCAAAGGCCACATTGATAAACATCCACATCCACAAAGTAATTCTTTATATTGGGGTTTGCACAAGTTTTTATGTTCAAATGCCTGCAAATGCGCTGCTCTATACTCTTGGGAATCGTTTTGTTGCTGACAGTCAAAAATAAGCCAACTTCTTAGACGAAATGTGGCCTTCAATAACTTAGAAGGCTCTTCAAAAGTTTCTGTCGCAATTCTGCTGTTATGAAAAAGATATGTGGCTTGCATTATACTGTAAGTTCATGTGAAAGCCATCTCTAAAGAGTAGTAAAGGTCACTAAGGCATTCTAGCAGGAAAGAAATTGAAGATTAATTAATGAATACATACTTTAGGACGGTTTGTAGAAAAGAGGTGTAACTCGAAGACCTTCTTCGACTTTCTCTTGAAGTAGACGTTCAATACTTTTAGCCTACTAAGAGCTGTTATGAACCGCAAATTTGTAGTTACCGTATATGTATTTTTTCATTCGAAAGCGCTGTAAAACCTGTAAGCATAGTAGGCCATTCAGAAGTTTTTCCATTTTTTTATTCTCGATTTGTCTAAGCAAACAACTTCTTGTAGCATCAAGTTTTCTCTATAGCAGCTCTGTTTTGTTTAGCATATCTCCGCTTATGTACTATCACTAATAGAATGGAAAGGCTCAAAATTGATTATAGCATGGTACTCTCGCAAGATATGGAAAAAATGTCAAGCGTTCTAATAATGAGAAAACTAAAACAACTCGATTCTATTTGAAAAATGGAGAATAAAACAGCTTAAAGGCAGCGTACATCCAGAATCTAAGTTACTCAGTTCTATACCGTGTATATTTAGGGCAAAGAAGAAGACCATTTAAGTTGGTAGTTAGTCCGGGCTTCCAAAGTTGCTTCTGAGCGGAGAAAACCCGCCTGATTTTCTTTTCACTCCGCCCTTTCCTTTCATTCCGGCTCCTTCGGACGAAATCCACGTTAGCGCAAGCTGCAGTTGCCGTTGCAGTTGCTGTTGCAATGCTTGCAAAAGTGCAGTTGCTTTTTGTGGGAAAAAGTGCAGTTGCTTTTTTTTCTTCAGACGACGAATCCACGACAGCATACGCTGCAGTTGCAGTTGCGACTGTAGGCTGTCATGCAATTGCAGCTGCTCCTCGCTAGCATGCCGATGGGGTCAAGCAATTCAAAACTCGTCCGCACTTTGAAGAGAGGGTCCCCGGGAATCGGGGTTTTTTGGGACTTTTGGAGGATTTTGATGTCACAACTGTAATCAAGAGCACGGAAAGGCCCCAGAATGACAGGAACATCGAAGGCGAAATTTTGGGTGTACGCTGCCTTTGAAGGCATCGTCCACCCTAACTTGAGAATGTTGAGCTTTTGGCAGCATATAACAGTAAGGCCTCCTATCAAGCCAATGCCCAAGTCGCGGCGCAGTATGCCGCTTCGGAGGCGAGAAAATCGCTTTGGAACAGCGAAGGTGCATGAGGACCCCCATCCATGCCCGCCCCTCCCCATCAGTGCCCGCCCACTTGTGCGGCTCATCCAATCACCGTTCTGGAAAGCCAACTTGTGGGTTCTCCGTAATGGGGATTTTCGGGATTTTCGCGGATTCTCGACTTCATATTTGGAATCGGGGACATGAGAAGGCCCTGAAACGACAAAAACCTGGAAGTCGAGAATCTGGGTGGACGGTGCCTTTAAGCTATGGTTTTTCGACATACCTTGAGAAACTTTACGGCGTAATTAATATGGAGTGGAACACAATGATTACAATCGATCATGTCAATGCACTAATGCAAGAAAATCTAATTTTACTAAAATATTGATTACCTCTGTCCTTTAGAGGCGATTAGCTCTGCGGCTCGGGGTCCCGCTGGCTGCCTCGCCTAGGTTTGCTCTGTTTCGCAAGCCTGCTTTCAATCATTTTTACATGCTTGTCCAGCCTGATTGAAGCTCGGCCTTTCCCAAGCCAGGTGTGGGTAAATGAGGAGAGCACGCTCAGACGCAAACCCCAAGCGGAGCGGTCGTGCGGAATCCAGCAGCACGGACTCCCATCGCTCTAATGAAACAAAAAGGATATTGGAAACCAAATTAGACTATCAGTATCATCTTCCTTCATATTCAGGACGTGCGAGCAAAGGTCTTCAGAATTGAGAGCAGCAGCACAAAAGAAACTTATAGCAAGGAGGTTCTAATACTTCGATGTTAGAAAACATTTGATGCCAAAAGATTCTCCATTCAGATCGCTTCATGGACAGTTGCCAATAAAGTCGAATTACTGTACGGAAATATTGACGTCGACATTAATACTATAAAGACATACCGTATTGTTACGGCATTGGTATGTTATTTGTCCGTAGAAATCCGCACTGCACGGCTTGACAAGACTTATAATGCATCAATATTTAATTGATATTCACTCAACTTAGCGTCAATTTCATTTCTCCTTACATAGTTTAGTTATAGCGTCAACGTGCGATGCCTGGTAAATTGGTATTGAAAGGTTTATCGTGAATATTATGGTTTGTAGTAAACCCCCATCAGTGCAACTCGACTGGTGCAGGCCTAACTTACACGTAGGATGCCTCCGTCCAGCATCGAGTGAGCTATTGATCAGGATGCGGATCGCTTTTTAGTCATGATAGTCATGTGTGTTCTTGAAAAAAAAAGACCACTTGAACCGATCTGGCCGAACACGTACTCAGACAATCGCCGGGGGCAGGCGGGCACCGGAAAAATAGATTGCTGATCTCTCGCACCCCGCTCGCGGATTTTTTGGAAAGCAATCAGGACTTTTCGGAAGACCGCTTGCTGAGTTCTTGATTCCTCAGAGATTCAGCAATATATCGGCAAAAGATAAGAGCGAAAAAAAATTCAACAGGCGGTCTCTTAAAAATCCCCTGACTCAGCAAGCGGTCTTCCAAAAAGTCCTGATTGCTTTGCAAAAAATCCGCGAGCGGGGTGCGAGAAATCAGCAATCTATTTTTCCGGTGCCCGCCTGCCCCCAGCGATTGTCTGAGTAAGCGACTGGAATTAAACGCGCGCGGCCATGGTTCAACACCGGCTAGCGCCACACTTGTTGTATCGCCTGGAGTTTTTGATAGCGACCACTGTCGCAAAATCGATGCTGACAGCTATCAAGGGCTTCGCTTAACACATGCAGGGATAAAGCAAGAACACATTTTTTGGCGAAAATTTCATGAAGAAATGAAAGGGTGCAACATGAACTCAGTGAATTAAATCAATAAATTCTTGAAATGTCTTTTTCTTCCTTTCCACGCCAAAATAAGCTGTTCATTGATTCTCTCTTTTTTCGGGCCCCGGTATTGTGCACTTTTGCGCCGGTTTTGTCCGCAATTAGATAAACTGATGTGTATTGCAAGTCAGGAGCAACCTATGGGAATGTTCTTCGCGTCTTGTTTTTTCCACATTATTTGCATTAGTCTAGCATCAGTTCAAGTTTCAATTGATCGTGAACTGGTGCAAGTACAATCAGTTGACTGCAGCAGGTGGACGGATGACCAAATGACAGTTCACTTGGCATGCTCATAGCACGGGAAGGTGGGCAGTCATCATTTCACCTGAGGTAAGCTTAATTGAAGGGTTGAGTTCAGTTCACCTGAACTGATCGAGCTTTACTGCAGACCTATGTTTTTCTGACTGCTCCGTAGGAGCATAAGCACAAACAAAAGGATGGGGCACCATTCACAAAACGAAAGCTTTACGACTGCTTTATTTTCCTATAAAGTACGTGAATAGGCACATATTCTGGAGTCAAGAAAAGAATTCATTCATTTTTGCTAAAACTTTTAAAATGCGGAAGCTTTCATTAATTTACGTTTGATTACGGAGGATTTCTCTCCTTTCAGAGAACTCTCCATATGAATAAGTTAGTGGTACACATTTTTGCAACGGATCTCCCTCATAAAGGGATCACAGCCGGTTAGTCGCGAGGCTACGTGTGGCGTCCCCAAATGGCGGATGGAGTGATGATAATCGCCGACCAAAAGCAATTCGCTAGAAGCTTGCATTCTAATATCCTGGGTAGATGCGTGGGGAGCTGGGCTCGGAGTCGCCTCCAACATAAGCTCCGATCTCCCTTGAGGGAATTTTGACCCCAACGAGCTGTCCTTGCGAGCAAAATGATTGTTCGACACAGTGAAAACATGGAAAACTTTTATTTTTGAAGAGCCACTGGTAAGGCAGCGCTAGTGGGGACAAGGTTTGAAAGGCGAAGTAGGCTGCCGAAACGAGACAAAGAATGATGACGATCTGTACTTACAACGCAAGGACGCTAGCATCGGACGCATCTATCGAAGACCTCATGCAAGCAAGGATGATCAAGTACGAAGTCATCGGATTGACTGAGACAAGGAGGCACCACCCGCTGAACGCCACATTTGAGAATGGACAATAACTATTCTTAGAAACATACGACAGTCCAGGAGTAGGTAGAGTGGGAGTCCTTTCAACACGAGCTGGCCACGATTCTTTCGAACAATCCACAATCCAATTGGACGTTTTCGGATATCAAGATGTGGGAATCCCTACCTTGACCGTCTTCATTGCGTACGCCCCAACATCCATCTGCGACGAAAACGAACTTGAGGCATTATTATGTGCAATTGGAGAAGTTATACAAAGATCATCGTCGGTGACTTCAACGCGAAGATCGGAGCTAGAAGTCGACTGCGGAACTTCACAGTGGAATCCGTGTATTACATTATAACGAAAAAAAAGGAAAGACTGTCCGAATTTATCGTGACGACAAGGACTATTTGTAGAACTCACAGTTTCAAAAGCCCCCTTCCCGAGCTGCGGAAATCGCTTGGTGGAAAGTACCATAACGAGATTGACCACATTATCGTGAACAGAAGTTACTGCCTTACCGTCGCTGTTGTTTCGAAATTCTACACGAAATCGGACTATCGCCTCCTACGTGCCAAGTTCCACTTTCCGCGGAATGGAGAGAGAGCCATCAAGTTTAGGAAAAATCGTCACGAGAAAACCACCCATTATCTGTTTTCTTTCGATCTCCGGCTAATGGCGAGATACCATGATCGACAACATCGACGAAGAATACGAACAGTTCGTTCAACACTTTTACGATTGTGCCAATGAAGCTCAAAGCTCAAGAAGTACGAGAAGGCGTTTCACCGCGGAGACTTTGGAGCTGATACGTCAACGTGGATGTGCACGAGTTATAGGCAACTACCGACTGACGTCCAAGCTTGCAAAGTGACGCAGGGAACCGATAAAGGAAGAACTCAAGGAGAGAAGAGTAGCAATGATGGTTGACGACGGGAAGCTGGGAGAAGTATACGACGACAGCCAAAGCTTCGTTAGCTCAAAACAAAGATGACCGCAGTTTCTGACGAAACTATAAATGCTTTCCGATGATCAATGGAAAAGGTCATCCACGACTTCTACTCAGATCTCTTTGCGAGCCACGTCCACCTTCCATCATGCCATCTCTAGAAAGACGAGTATGTTGCACCGTCTCTTCTTCATTCCGAGATTCGTCATGCTGTCATTTCGATGAAGAATTGTACAGCACACGCTCCCGACAGAATTAAGCCAAAACATTGAAGTATCTTTTGCAATTCTCATCAAGACCTTGGCAAGGTATTCACGTACCTGACGGAAGGCAAGGTCCCAAGACAAGAAGACCAGCAAGACCGTGTTGCTGTACAAGATGGGAGATCTCTGCGACATTTATCTGCCTGTTGTCTGCAGTCTACAAAATCTTTACGCTAATTATTCTCAACGGGATAGGAAGAGAGTTAGACGAAGGACAACTATGCGAGCAAGTTGGGTTCCGAAGAGGTTACAGCACGATAGACCACATATACACTGTATCAAGGCTTATTGGAGTGTAAAGATCCCGCTCTGTCTCACCTTCATCGACTTGAAGAAGACCTTTGACTCGGTTGAGCCGTCATTGACGCTCGAGCAATCAAGGTATTCCTACTCAATGTATTAGGATGCTTCGTGAGTTGTATAATGACTTCACAGCCAGCATCACAACATTCTACAAGGACATCATCCTAAGGGAAAAGAGGCGTACGAAAGGCGATACAATATCGCCGAAACTATTCAGTGCCGCTTCAGAGAACGTCATGTGTAACTTGGAATGGGACAGCATGGGAGTGAAAGTTCGACGGCCGGCAACAACACCACCTTCGCTTTGCTGATGACATCGTATTGATGATACCAACCATTACACAGGCGGAACAAATGCTGGCCCAGTTTGACGAAGTGTGTAGAAAGATCGGCCTACGGCTGAAAATAACGAAGGCGATATTCATGAAGAACGGAAGAGTGCCCGATGCTTTTTTATGCCCAACAGCACGAACATCACCAAACGCTTAAGATACACTTACCTAAGTCGTGAGCTCAATATGATGAACGATCTAGCTCGGGAATTGAGCAGGAGCAATGCATGTGGAGCATATAAGATTTCGGAAGTAGTGAAGAAGACCAAGAACACCCGGCTCCGCGTCCACCTCTTCAACGCGACGGTTCTTCCTGCTTTGACGTACGCTTTAGAAACATGGACAATGAGGAAGCAGGATGAACAGCAGTTAGCGTCATTGAACGTGCTGTTGAGAGAGCGATGCTAGGAGTGAACCAACTCACACAAGTGAAGCAAGGAATACGAAGGTTCTACCCTACGTCAGCGATCGAAGATCAGGGGCGCTGCCGCGTACGCCAAGCAGAACAAGATAAGATGGGCCGGGCACGTAATGCGTTTCCACGACAACCGCTGAACGAGAGCTGTAACAGATTGTATACCACTGGACATCAAACGCGAACGAGGAAGACCGCCGACACGATGGTCAGATATGCTCACGAAGTCCTCTAATGAAATCCAAATGAGTATACCTTGTAGACACCATTGTCTTTGCAGGTTTCAGCTCTCAAAAAGGATTGGCTTGCTCGAAGTTGCAGCAATTTAAAGAAAAAATTTCGCAAGTGCCCGGGAAAACTTTTGTTACTACCTAATAGCTAGCCTTCCTATCAATAATCTCCACTCAATCGTATGAGCTCAGCTTGAGTTGAAAGGGTAATGCAATGCTCTCACCAAAGGCTGCAATGGCTCCACAGCTGCAGATTTGACCAAGACTTATAGCTATGCAAAACCCTTCCTCACTCTCAGATTTGTAAAAGTCCATGTTGACCTTATGGCTGCATCAGTCAGTCGTGCCATCAATCCAGGTGCAGTTTGCTTTGTAGACATGCGCGTTTTCACGAAAAAAACATCTTCGCATGTGCTACAGCTTGGTTAAATGATAAACTGCCGCTGGTCAAACTACATGGCCGTAATTCAAGACCAGCTAG